ACTGCCTTTTCAAAAAGCTCCTCAAACTAATTCCTACTGATCACAGCTCAGTTTTCATCATGTTACATACATTATTGGTATAAAATTCTGTATTAAAAAGACCAGTCCAGCCCAGCCGGCATCAACCTATGAGCCAGGAGGTCATGGTTCAATTCCCAGTCAAGGCACAAGCCTGAGTTTGCGGGTTGGATCCCCAGGAGGCAGATGTTTCTATCTCTCTCTCCCTCTCCCTTCCTCTCTGAATCAATAAAAATATATATTTTTTAAAAACAGTCCTGCTGGCGTATCTATGTTGTATTGTCTATTACAAGAGCTGACAAGCGTTTTCCTGTATAGGGCCAGGTGGTCAATATTTTATGCTTTGCAATAACTCTGTTGTTATAGCATGAATGCAACTTCAGATAATTCGTAACTAAAGGGCATGACTATGGTCTAATAAACAGACCCCGTCTACTGCATCAATGATATGTATTGGGACTTAAAATTTCGACATAATGTGTTATTTGGGAACACATTTTGTCTCATTTGTCTTCTATTAAAAATTAGTCCTGGCCAGTGAGCTCAGTGATTAGAACATCAGCCCATGCACTGAAGGGTCTTCGGTTCAATTCCTGGTGTAGGGCACATACCTGGGCTGTGGATTCGCTCCCCAACCCCTGGTTGGTTGGGTAGCATGTGGGAAGCAACCAATTGATGTCTCTCTCTTACATTAATGTTTCTTTCTCTCCCCCCGCCCCGCCCCAATCCTTCCCCTCTCTCTCTAAAAAGCAATGGAAAAAACATCCTCCAGTGAGGAGTAACAAAAGATTTTTCCCCCAAAAAATTAGTTTTAACTTTGACTAATAACCCATGTACATATTTTATCTCAATGGCTTTTGATGTTGTAAACAGTTTTTTGGTGATTTATTGCCAAATAAGTTTTAAAATGGACATCTAAGGATAAGGAGAGGGCCAAAAGAAATGATACACGGAGTGACACCACAGGGGAGCTAAGCGTTAGTATATAAATCGTGTTCCGAACCACATGCTCGCTATATCGCTGGTCTAACTACACTAGTTTCTCAGGACTAGCAGCCATCGCTCACCATATTGCTAAGTTGGTGTCCACACTGCACAAAAATTATGTATCTAAGTTTAAATTGTATATAGAACCTACCCATACCAAGTCCATACCATGAGCCTGTTTGCTATTGTGTGTGTGTGTGTGTGTGTGTGTATAAAGGCTAATATACAAAGTGTCCCCTTGGGAATTCAACTGGGAGTTCGATTGCTTGCTATGACATGCGCTGACCCCCAGGGGGCGGCACAGAACATGGCAGGCAACCAATGGTTGTGGTGGGGGCGCTGAGGGAGTGAGTGAAAGAGGAGGTGTGGAGGCAGAGAACCTGATAGGCCCTGATCCCTGGCCAGGCCTAGAGACCCTGCCCATGCAAATTTCATGCACCGGGCCTCTAGTGGGTCTATAATTTTGATACACATGAAAGGTATTAACTGGAGAAAATAAAAACTAAACTGACCAAACTTTTACTAGTTATGGCCAAAAAGAAATAATTTTGACTCTGGCCAGTGGGCTCAGTTGGTTAGGGCATCATCTCATGCACTGAACAGTCGCAGGTTCATATCCCAGTCAGGCAGGTATCCAGGTTTCAGATTCAATCCCCAGTCAGGGCTTGTACAGGAGGCACATTGCTATTTTTCTCTAGAATTAATTAAAGCAAACAAACAAAATGTGTCCTTGGGTGAGAATTTTTTAAATTCTCTAAAAAAAATTAATTTTTGGAGAATCAAGATGGCAGCATAGACTGGGTTTTTTTGTTGTTTACCATGGAACTCATTTGACTGTTTCTTTCCATATGTACTGATTTTTTACTTCATGTCACACATTATAAAACAAATGTTATAGAGAATTTGTATTGTATCTTCCTCTGTAGAGTGTTTTCTTCCAGCGGGCAATTTGAATACTACCTTCAATTTAGGTATGCTTTGTTAGTATAAATCTGTGGAAAGCCCAAGGTGTTTCTAATGCCCTTCTATTTGGCAAACGGTCTCTCTTGCAGATCTTGTTGAGGTGATTTCAGTCTATATGCAGGGATGTGGACATCTGTTCAGTCTGAGAGCTGAAACAAAAAGCAGTTGTTCACCTTGTTCAACCTTAGCTGAGAACATGCATGTTGGGCAACTCAAATGTTTTGCCACGTGCACGTCTAAGAATGACTACAATAGTGCCTAGAGTGCTGACGTGGGGATTAGAAATAAATTTAACAAGTAACAAAAGTTATAAATATGGACTCTCTGAATGAGAATTGATTATGCATATATTTTCAGTATAATAAAACCAGGTAGCATAATAAAAATATTTCAGTGCTGCCCTAGCTGGTTTGGTTCAGTGGATAGAGTATTGGCCTGCGGACTGAAGGGTCCCAGGGTCAATTCCAGTCAAGGGCACATGCCTGGGTTGTGGGCTCGATCCCCAGTAGGGAGTGTGCAAGAGGCAGCTGATCAATGATTCTCTCTCATCATTGATGTTTCTATTCTCTCTCTCTCCCTCTCCTTTCCTCTCTGAAATCAATAAAAATATTTTTTTAAAAATATTTCAGTGCTTAAAGAGATCATGTAATTAACTATTTTGATGGATCTTTTCCCTAAACATAGTATTATCCCCTAAACAAGACACCAAAGATAATTTTTCTTCCTGACTTAGGTTCATCATTTAATAAATGTTAAAATCCAATGAAGCTTTTAAGATTTTAGACATATAAATGTTTGCTCTTAGATTAGAAAGCTGTATTTGGCAACAATTCTTGAGGCCTCTTTGCTTTTTGTCTCTTATTGGTTGTTTTCTTTCTAAAGCCAAAGCTCAATTTATGTTAGCTGTATAATCTAGAGGAAATAAATTGTATAGGTCTGTTTTCTCATCTATGAAATGAAGGCAATGCATTCCTAAGGTCCCTGCAGGTCTAAAATTCTCTTCTCTAGCCATCAATGTTTTTTGGCCTCCAGATTCTATCTCCTTTTTTAGCTTCCTGCTTTTGATCTCCTATGCCTTGGAAAAATAGGAAAGACAATTCTATTATATTATAACACTAGAGGCTCGGTGCATGGATTTGTGCACGGGTGGGTTCCCTCAGCCTGGCCTATGGGGATCAGGCCAAAACCAGCTCTCCGACATCCCCCAAGGGATCCCGCGTTGCAAGAGGGTGGTTCTCGGGTGACACACCCCAGATCAGGCTCCTTCTTCTCTGGTTTCAAGAGAACTGCAGCTGCCAAGTCACCACAGCTTGGCAGCTCCTGCATTGAGCATCTGCTCTCTAGTGGTCAGTGCGCATCATAGCTACTGGTCCGACAGTTGAACGGTCACTTAGGCTTTTATATATATAAATAGGGTATTCTAGTTAAAGACTCGGGATTTTTTTCTAAATTATGTATATACTGTAGTTCTCCTTGTCTGCAGAGAATATGATCTAAGACCCCAGTTGATGCATGAAACCAGGGAGAGTACCAAACCCAATATATACTGTTTTTTCCTCTACATACATACTTACAATAAACTTTAATTGATAAACTAAGCACAGTAATAGATTAGTAACAAACTAGAACAATTACAACAATGTACTGTAATGAAAGTTATGTGACTGTGGTCACTATTTCAGGAGATGCCTTGCTGAAGTCCTCGTATAGGCTCAGTGCTTTCAGGTGCAAAGGTTGCTATCAATCGGAACACATTTTCTGTTCATGTCTTCCACCCACAAACTTTATGCCTTTTCCATATTAACTATGCACTTATCACACACTGTGGCCAAAACTTCTGCAGTTTGAGGTATGACAGCAAAATTAGCAATTTCTTTTTCCTTCTTCATTGTAGGGAGCAGCTCTAGGGTCAAGCCTTGGGCTGACCTGTGGCAGGGCCACAAACAAGTCCCAGCCTGGAGGGCAGAGCTCTCCTAGCATAATTAAGCTTGACCTTGTAGCCCTCCCTAATTTCTTCCTAAGTAGCTAATGGGCTGTGGGAGGTGCAGCGAGTGTTGCCAAAACAAGAACATTTGTGTCAATCTGATAACCAAGATGGCTACTAAGTAACTAATGGGAGGAGGGTATACAGCGTGAATACGCTGGACAAAGGGATGAGTCACATCCACGTGGGATGAAATGGGATGGTGTGATTTCATGACAATATCAGAATGGTACACAATTTTAAAACTTAGGAATTGCTTATTTCTGAAACTTTCCATTTAATATTTTTCAACCACAATTGACCCAGGTAACTGAAACCAAGAAAAGCAAAACTATGGATAAGGAGGGTGGACAACTATACATATTTTGGTAACAGGAGATCTGTACACACTTACTCCCTGGATCTTAGGTATAATCCAAACAGATATGTAAAATCAGTTGTATTTCCTAACAGAGTAAAAAGACACTATTAACTATTAATAAACCAAATACCTGACCTGTGGCATCTATGGCTAAAAAAAAAATACTACTATCTTTCCTAGGATCCTCACTGATCCCATGCCTGCAAAAATAATACATACAGTTCAAATGAAGCTATTATAAAAAAGCATTAGACAATGGGGGAGGGGAAAGGAGGGTGAGCATTTGTAATACTTTCAACAATAAATTTAAAAATTTAAATAAATAAATAAAAATAAACCAAGGTAGGGGCGAGTGGGCTAGACGGGGTCAATGGGGAAAAAAGGGGGACATCTGTACTACCTTCAACAATAAGGATAAATTTTTAAAAAGTTTTAAAAAGCCTTAGCCAGTTTGGCTCAGTGGATAGAGTGTTGTGTTGGTCTGCAGACTGAAGGGTCCCAAGTTTGATTCCGGTCAAGAGCACATGTCTGGGTTATGGGTTCGATCCCCAGTGGGGGGCATGCAGAAGGCAGCCGGTCAATCATTCTCTCTCATCATTGTTATTTCTATCTCTTTCTCCCTCTCCCTCCCTCTCTGAAATCAATAAAAATATATTAAAATTTTAAAAAAACAAACAGAAAAAAGCCTTGACTTATTTTCTTTATTGAATTAAAATTACACTATATATAAAATAGTGATGTATATACAGAAGGATTTAATGTCATAATATATACAACTATCTTTAAAGTCAGGATGCAAGTTACAATGATTATGAATATAAAATTTATATTAAAACCTTCTCCATAGTGGTTTATTTGGCTGTTTTAGTTCGAAGTCGTCGTTTGAGAATCTGATGATCACTTTCCTTCACTTTATGATCCATCAAAATCTGAAATGAACAATTACACAATTTTAAATAAAAATAAAAGCTTATTTTAACTAATAAAATATGTTCATGTGCTTATTAGACATAATAGGTACATTATATTTTTTGTCTTCTTGGATTTACAGGAATACTATCTTCTACAAAAAAGCATGCCTAAAGTAACAGATTTTGTAAAAGATTATTTCAACACTTCATAATTCTAGAATTAAAATAATCTATATTCTGTATTCAGGTATACACAGCTTGAAATAATTACTAAAATGTTTGGAGACATGTAACTCAAATAAATTTTTAAAAATATATTTTTATTGATTTCAGAGAGATGAAAGGAGAGGGAGAGAGAGAGAGAGATAGAACATCAATGGTGATAGAGAATCACTGATCGGCTACCTCCTCCACACCCCCTAATGGGGATCAAGCCCGAAATCCATGCATGTGCCCCGACCATGAATTGAATCATGACCTCCTGGTTCATGGGTTCCAGCTCAATCACTGAGCCACACCAGCCAGGCTCAAATAACTTTTCTTCTTCTTTTTTTAATATAGAGCCGGCAACCTGGGCATATGCCCTGACCAGGAATTGAACCGTGATCTCCTGGTCCATAGTTCGACGCTCCACACCAGCCAGGCTCAAATAACTTTTAAGAAATTATCTTTCTCAGTAACAACTATATAACTTAGAAAGTTGAAAGAGCATTGTATTGCAAGTAAAGAAATAATAATTTCAGCCAAGGGCGGAAATTATGTACTAATCAGACAGATGGTGAAAAGTGATGAAGAGAATAGTACTTCTGACAGCATGTCTTAACTGACGCCAATTCTATGCCACTTGCTTTTAAGTGTCTATCTCATATCTGATAGCTGCTGTTGCAAAAAGACTCTCTCCCCTGATTTTTCTTGGCCATTTCCAGCTGAAGGCTTTTCCTTTAATTACTTTTCTATTTTCCCTTTCATCCACTAGGCAAATGTAAGCATGATAAAAAATCAGAACTTTTCCTGTAACAGCACAGCCTGTTCTGAATGAGGAGAATGAGTCATAGAGTCATGGTGACAAACTGCAGTCTCTTCTCAATAGAACCTGGGAGGCTCAGAGGGAAGGTGGGAGGAAATGACTGAATGTCAACTACAGATTCTTACCAGACACACTGAGGCCCAGATTTGTACCACAGTGATAAAAATAACAAAAATAGATGCTAGAAGAAAATAAATTACTAAACAGTGATAATTCTGATGGAATTAAAATTCCTCTGATTAGTTCATAGCCGGAACCGGTTTGGCTCAGTGGATAGAGCGTCAGCCTGTGGATGAAAGGTCCCAGGTTCGATTCCGGTCAAGGGCATGTACCTGGGTTGCGGGCACATCTCCCAATGGGAGATGTGCAGGAGGCAGCTGATTGATGTTTCTCGCTCATCGATGTATCTAACTCTCTATCTCTCTCCATTCCTCTCTGTAAAAAATCAATAAAATATATTTTTAAAAAAATAAAATAAAATTCCTCCAATTAGTTCATAAATGTATGCATTAATGCCACATTTATATTTAATTACTACAAGTTTAACACATTTGATATCAAAAGCATAATATTTAAAGCATGTTGTAGAAATATGATCTAAAGAATAAAAATTCAAACTACTGTAAAATTCAAATTGTTATGAATACTTCAGAATTTAAAATAGCACAAACAGGTTTACTTTTAAGGAAACTGAGGTAGTAGCTTACCACTTGGCCGGATATATCAATAGGAGATGAAATTTCATTTGTGTATAATTTCCGTTTGGCCCGTTTTGGTCGAGATACATTTTCTTTACTTACTTCTACATTCGAGAGCTTTGAAGAGCTCATCGTTTCAATTAATTTCTTTGCTATGAAAAATTATAGATTAGTTAAATCCTGAAACAAAAAATTTTCTAACTGCAAAGGTTTAAAATTCTTGATAAAGAAAAAAACATACCAAGTAAAAAAGAAAACCACTGTAATTTATAAATGGTGAAAGGACATGATAGACAATTAACAAAAAAAAAGAAATGCCTAATAAACACATGAAATAATGATTAAGAGCAAAAATAAGTAAGTAAAATATCATTTGACTAGTAAACTATAGTACCACCAGTAAAGTGCAGGAGTCGTTAATGATTTGAAAGAGGTTTATGCTATGCAAAGCAAAGAAACAGGATGCATACATAGTGGACCATGCAGCATTAAAAGTAAGGACGCAGATCTATTTCAGTAGTCACATGTCAAGATGTCCACAGGAATATTAAGTAAAGGTAGTTTATTATTGTGAGACCTTTACTTATAGTTAACACATGCATTCACATATACATACACACACATACACAGCGTAAGAGAAAGTAAATTGTTAACAATTAATTGCTTCTGGGAAGAGAAAAAGGAATTTTTAAATGTCTTACTTTGCACATTTGTTTTATTTTTTAAAATACACATGTTGGTCTTAATAGTATTTTTCCATTTGGGGAAACTCCTGGATAAAACAAATCCATATACACAGGATAAACTATATATTTTTTAAAATAGTAAAACATTTAAGGAAATATGCTAAAGTGAGGGTGCACTTATAAAGGGCTGAGCTGAGCTTGAGAAAGCTGGGCTGCCAGATGTCAGAGAACACAATTAAGATAAGCCAAATGAAAGTAACACTCAAGCCTTTCCAATGGTTTTCAACCTGTGGGTCTCGACCCCTGAAAATACATCCTGCATATCAGATATGTACATTACATTCATAGAAGTAGCAAAATTACAGTTATCAAGTAGCAACAAAAATAATTTTATGGTTGGGGGTCACCACAACATGAGGAACTGTATTAAAGGGTCGCGGAATTAGGAAGGTTGAGAACAGAGTAAGAAGCTAAACCTGAGAAATCACAGCTCCCGCCCATTCCTTTTCCGTATTTTCCCATAGAACAGTGTGTGGTCTAGGTCAGAAGTATCAGCATAAAACTGAGGGCCATCTCATTACCAAGGGAACCCAGAACAAAAGACTCACGCACTTGCAGTTTCATAGGCCTTGCGACTGGAGGCCAGGCCAAGGGGCTAGGTGTGAAAAAATAGAGTTTGAGGGGAGAAAGGTGTCTTCAAGGTTGCCTCCCCATCCCTGTCATAAGGTATTCAGCAGAGGCACCTGAGGAAGTTCTCTGCTGAAGGCCCCAAACAAAGAGGCTCCAAATGAAGGCACTTAGGCACTTAGGCCAGTTTCGTACACGCATGGCTGGACCGGACCTGAGTCCTTGACTATAACTCCCTTCAGAGACTGCAGTGTACTGTGTGTGCACTAAGCTTGGTGTGGGGAGGGCAGCTCTCCCCATGAGGCATAACAAGTAAAGCCTCTGTAATTGCTCATGGTCAGCCTTAAAAACAAAACCACACACAGGATTTTGGCCTGGAGGCACCAGACTGCTACTACTAAACCCCAGCCACTGTACTAAGAGCTGGGGATGTGAGCCTGACAGACATTTTGCACCTGTGGCACTTTTATTCTAGTGCAAAAAACAAAAAATTATAGCTTAATTCAATTTGCACTTTGAAAAGAACACTGTCTGCTGGGTGTTGAATGGATAGGAGACAGGCAAGAAGTAAAAGTTAGACCAGTGATACCAAATAAGGAATTAACAGTGGTTATCAGAGCAGCAGAATTTTAAGAATTAATCTCAATTTTCTTCTTTTTTCTCTATATTTCCAACTGATCAACAACAGATATGTATTGTAATTATAGCTGAATGTTCAGTGGTTGTTTGGCCGTAAGTACTAAATGGAGGTGTTTGAGTGCAAAAGCACAATAAAAAAATCACTGAGTTATTGAAGGCACTATGAACCAAGAAACGTTTGGGAACCTCTGTGTAAGTTTTTACAGAAGAGTACTTTTACACAATCTATCTGAATCAATTCAACTATCCCCTGCCTTCATAGTCCCTATCCCTCCCTATTCTCCTCACCTCTACTCTCCAATTTACCACTCAGGTAATCTCATGAAAACCCACTCCTCTACCTGCCCTCTCCCCCCAATCATCTCCCCACATTCTACATGCCAGACGAATATTACAACCTGGAATAGCCTGCATATTCCCTATACTTTCCTGGTACTCTACCTATGTCGAAACTGTTCCTCTGGTAGGTGTGTATCTGTGTGTGTACGCATATATATATGTTTTTGTTTATGTATACATGTACATAAAGTGTACATCTGAGCATATATTAATACACAGGTAATAATGTGGCTAAGAAAAAAGCATTCAGCAACTAAACTCAATAGACATAGAAGCATATGTTTTTTATATATATGAATAGGTAATGTTTATCTGTACATAGAAAAAAACACTAGAAGAATATATACAATTATACTAACAGTGTTTATCTCTAGCAGATGTAATTCTGCCAACATTTCATTACTAGGCTAAATTCTTCTGTAAAATCTTCCCATGGTCCCTAATTAGAACAGCTCATTTCCCTTCAATACTACCACAGCACCCTACTTGTATCTCTGTAACTACAGAGCAGCCTGCTCTCGATCAATTACTTAAATATAGGTCTTTCTTCACCACATAGTGAGCTCCTAGGCCTTTTCACGTTTCCTCCCACAGTACCTAACATAGGACAATGAATACTTGAAATATAATAATCACTGTGATGAGTTTATATACCAATCAGATATTAGGAAATACCCTAATACCTAACATTGAAGGGCATTTAATTAATTTTCTGCAAACCTTTTGATTGAAGAATTGTTGGAGAACGTTGTATGAAGTCTCCAAATTTCTGTAGTGTTCCTTCTTTTTTCTTAGCGGTCAAGTTTACATTAACTGCAGATGCCTGACTCCGTAAAGAATATGTTTTATGAGATGATGACCGTGAGGAAACCTAATAAACAAACATTTTTTGTTATTGTTGATGAGGACTGTTAGAAGGAAATATTATAGCCACCGTTGAATTAAAGAGGCCAGACACAGGTTATGAATTCTCAGACAGGGAATTATCAATTAAGAATATAAGGAGAGCCCTGGCCGGGTGGCTAAGTTAGTTGGAGCACTGTCCTATGCTCCAACAGGTTGCGGGTTTGATTCCTGATCAGGGTGTATGGGGAAAGCAGCTGATCAATGTCTCTCTCCCCCGCCCCCCCACTTCTCTCTCTCTCTCTAAAATCAA